GGGGGGGGGAGAGAAAAGGACTCTACCATCTGGGATTCGCGGGGGTGAATTTTATATCGCAGCTTGAGCGATGTCGTAAACTACCATGTCGGCGCGGGGCACGTTGCTGCTGCGAGTGTGAGAGAGTGAGACGTTACAAACGCCGCGAAGCACCTGTCTCCCTCGCTCGCAAGGGAAACTACGTATAGAGACACTCCTGGGCTCACTTTTCTTCTCCTATGCCCGCTGCGGGGGCGCGGGCCGCGGGCCGCGGGGAGGAGTTCTGGTTTTACGACTCAAACTTTCGGCCATACGGCATCAAGTCGGGCCCTGCCCTGTCCGTGTCCCACTTGCGACGCGGCGGAGCGGGAGTACCGATGGTCGTCCCGCAGGCGCCCCGCCCTACCCCGCCCCCAGCAGCCCCCAGTTAATGATGATTAGAAGCCATTGGCAATTCGCAAACGGACTCGGCAAGTAGTTTAACGTCTTCGGCCGGTTTTCCTCCTAGCTTCCTCTCTATGACTTGTGTGCCTCTAGGCCTTTTGGTCCAGCTGGACCTACTACTAGTAGTAACGACCAATCACGGTCTAATACAGGCACACCTGCCGTTATTCCCGACACGAAGACGAAAAATGTTCGTAATGGCCCGGTTTAAAAAATAATATGTAGCTTCTGCAATGCACAGAACACATAAGAAACAGAAGTGCGTGACATGTCAATCACATAAATGTCGTTCAAAAATGTCACATTTTTGTGTGTTACATTCTGGCAGGAAGTTTAAAGTGTTCAAATGTAACACACTTCTATTTGGTAGAACATAAATATTTCGTAAATTGCATACGACATGATGAAGTTATGCAGTCAAATTCTCATACTTCCTATAATTTTGAGTTTCTTTGGCTTTTTTTTGTAAAATTATAAAAATATATTTGCCGTGTGTACTGACTGGCAGGCCGTGTCGAGCTCCTGCAGGCTGGTAGGGATGCCCTTCAGCTCGTGCTGGCTTAGGATGGCGGGCAGCTGGTCCAGGCAGGTCTTCAGGTACTCCTTGCAGCCTGGGGCGTAGCCCGACTGGGAGACGGTCAGCGTGGCGCCTGCAACAGCAAGAAGTGGCCATAAATAAGCAAGGCATGCTAACGCAACATTTTTTGAAAAAGGTTGTTAATGTTTGTTAAATTTGAAATTGATGTTTCATACAATCAATAATGTTTTGCATTACTGAGCCCACTGCTGTCGCACTCTTGGACTTTTGAGGAATATGCAAGGGGTGCGCCCAAAAAAGAGTGTTCTTGAGTGAAGTAAATGTGCTCCGCTGAACCGAGAACATTTTCTTGTTCCGATGCAAATTGCATTGGTGATAATGAAAATTGCATTGCCCTGATGCAAATGTTCTTGAGAAATCAGGGGTCAAGAACACGCTTTCCTGGGTGTGGCAAAGGGACATATTTTTTATTTTCACCATACGCAGCAGTGAGTTTCCCCAGTGTGTCAGGGCGGGGCCGCGTACGCTGGGGGTGCGGCATGTAGGTCACTTCATTTCTAACCCCCCCCCCCCCCCGGTTCCCGACCCTTCCTGCTGTTTATTTCGGCTCAGCCCGAAAGCTGTGTGACGCCCAGTGACACATACACACATCCACATCCACATGCTATTAAAAAAACCGTCAGTCGCTTATTATGCATCAAACTTTACTGTTCAGTAGAAAGTAATAATCATAGCAAAACAAGGCCAAGCCGGGAAGACTTTCTCCTAATTCACTGACCCCCAACCCCGTCCCGCCTTCCCCATGTCCGTTTCAAAGTGAAGCTGGCGACTGGAATTACTTTGTTGAGGCTGGTTGTTTCTGAATAGGGAAAATAGGGACGGTTAAAGCAAAGGGAGAGGGCGGAGGAGAGGGGCATCAGCTCCTCTATCAGCCACCTCGACCCCTCATGATGGGGAGCATCGGAAATGAAATCAATTAGCTCAAACTTCCCGCGCCGAATCTCTTCAGAAGCAGTGGGGCGTTATTGCGAACCGGCTAGTCCGAACGCCAGTGAATAGGGTACTCCGCTAGAGCGCGGAGCGGAATAACTGAGAAGAACAAAAGCGGACACAGAGAGCGATGACGGGGGCTGGCGAGCGGAGGAGGAGCGGCAAGCGGCGGGGAGGCTCCCCTACCACCCGCCGCTCCTCTGCTCGCCCGCCCCTACCACCACTCGCTGTATCCGCTTTTGTTCTTCTTAGTTCCGCTCCGCGCTCTAGCGTAGTGTACCCTATTAAGCGGCAAACGCGGTGCGATACATAAAGTGGGCGAGAGAGAGAGACACAGAGAGAGACACAGAGACAGAGAGACAAGACAGACCATAACAGACAGTCGCAGATAGTGAAAAGGAGGGGGAAAGGGGAGTTAATATAAATCTTGAGGCTCATAGATCTAAATTCGTACCTCGGTCCGGGTCGATTGCGTCGTGGTGTCTCAATTACAAGGGATAACCGCACTACCTACGACAGAGACGTACCCCGAATGAGACGATGCGCGATGGTCTGTTTGCCACACACTGAAAGCTTATGAACATTTTTATTCATATTTTCCTGAGCTCTGTGTACGTGCTCTGCGTAAGCTCGACCAGATTCAGCTAAATTCTCGCGGGGTTGGGAATATGAAAAAAAAAATCCCCACCACAAAGCACGATACAGGTTGGTCGCAGTGCCGCCTCGTCCCAGAAAACGTGCGAGCAAACGCGTGCGCACCCAGAAAAAAGGTCCTTAAACTAACCCAAGGCATTTAAAAAAAATCAAGGAATTTTCTAATCTTGGTTGAAGATATTTCCACTGTTTTCAAGGAAAGTAAGTTAATGCAAGGAAAATTTTACTTTATTTTACCGACATTTGCCCTAAGCAGAATATATTTTTTCTTGTATTTTTTTTAGGTGAACAAAAGCGTTGAAGCAACGCATTTCGCCCTGTTTCAAGGGTACCATTTTCGGGGTGTGCTATCCAGCATGTACGGGTGTGGGTTGCCTTATCTCACCGAGCGTTATACTGTTATTCAAATACTGTGACGGCACATTCTAGAAAATGTGAATTGTGTCACATTATTTAGAATATCATGTCACATTCGTTTGCACATGACATAGGTACGCCTCTTATGCACTGAGCCCTTGAGGGCAGAGCGGTGCAAAAGGAATGTCACGTTCTAAAGAATGTGACATGATATTCTAAATAATGAGAGACAATTCATATCATATAAAATGTGACGTATCTGAATAATAGTGTATGCATAGGGCGTCATGGTCACTGACGAACAAGCAAACCCGCCTTCAACCTCGCATCCGGGCTAGTATAGTGCGGGTTTCTCATGGGGTGAACTGCGACCACCCGGTACGGCGTCAACTGGAATAATAGCGAAAAGAAGGGTTAAGTGTTGGCGGTGCTTTGAAGGAGGGGAAAGAGGGGGGGGGGGCAGGGCGGCAAGGACCTGAGAGAGAAGGTTGTCAAAGTAGCGTTAATATGAAGCGTCAGCCAGGCGCCCTTCACATAGCAGCTGCCGAAACCCTCGCCTATCGGGTCGAGAAATCAGAGTGACGCGGGGGGATTTGCTGCGCTCTTTCGACGAATAAACTCGGAAAAACCTATAGAACGGTACACAGCATGCATGCTTTATGAAGACGGTTTTATTTGGCATTATATCCGCCCATTCTCTCCCTTTTCGCTTTCTACCCGCATAATGCTCTGACGGTCCAATCTGCTTCGATTACCCAGACCGCCCCTTTCAAATCGCCGGTGGCGTTCGACATTCCGAGGAAGGAATTTAGTTCCAATATATATTGGCAAACATTTTCAGCCAGCCCTATCGGCCTTGTGGCTGCGGTTCGTCGCGGCGAGAGGACCAGTGATCCTTTGCCAGACGAGACTAATTGGGAAGAGGGCGCCTTTGGAGAATGCGGACGATTGTGCCTGCTTTGTGATTGCAAACCAACTGCAAACGTTTCTGCCTTCTTTGTGATTGCGAACCATACTGCGAACGATTGTGCCTGCTTTGTGATTGCGAACCAGCTGCGAACGATTCCCTTTGCAGCGCCAACAGCACCATTTGCAAAGGAATTTTCTGCTGTGCGCGGCTATGAGGGACTGGGCACCTGGCAGATGCTGCACGAGGGAATCAGGGCGGGAGTCTGCACATACTCTGAGCGACGTGTCAGTGCGATTGTCTAGAGCAGCGTGAGGGAGAGGATAGAGAGAAGGGGGGAGTTAGGGAGGGAGGGAG